TACCCCTCACCCCCTCCCATTCTCCCCCCTTTGTTCTTCCTTTACATCTCTTTGTGCCCATTGTTTAATTTCCAGTTATTAGTGAGTACTTGTGTTTGTTTTTCCATTTCTAAGATACTTGATTTAGGATAATTGTTCGAGTTCCATCCAAATTGCTCCAAAATACATGATTTCGTTCCTTTCTGTGGCTGAGTGTTATTTCGTGATGTGTATGCATGTATTTATATGTGTGTGTATATATACAGGCAGTCCCTGAGTTACAGACATCCAACTTACATATAACTCTCATGAATGGAGGCTATCAGAGAATGTTCCTGAGTTACTAACATCTGACTGACTTATGGCTGCCCCTTATGGATGGGGAAATATGTAATATGGAAATATACCCGTTCCAACTTACATACATATTTAACTTAAGAACAAACATACAGAACTTATCTTGTTTGGAACTGGGAGACTGCCTGTATATAGTATAACTCACATTTTCTTTATCCACTCACCAATTGATGGGCACATAGGATTATTTTGCATCTTTGCAATTGTGAATTATGCTGCAATAAACATTCAAGTGCCAGGTGTCTTTTTGATAAAATGACTTTTCCTTTGAATGAATACCCACTAGTAGGATTGCTGGATTAAATAGTAAGTCTAGATTTATTTCCTTGAGGAATCTTTGTACTGTTTTTCATCGAGCTTGTACTAATTTGTATTCTCACCAGTAGCTTATAAGCATCAGTTGTTCTCTACATCCATGCCAGTAGATGCTGGGACACTGAGGAGGAAAAATGAACAAAGAAGTGAGGATTTTTATCCTCATGTACAGGAGCACAAGCAAATTTGAAAAATCCATAATCAGAGTGAAAGATTTTATTATGTCCATGTGAAAGGCAGGAGGAATCTATTCAAAAATTAGTAAACTTGGGCAGTGCCTGTGGCTCTAAGGAGTAAGGTGCTGGCCCCATATGCCGGAGGTGGCAGATTCAAACACAGCCCCTGCCAAAAATGGCAAAACAAACAAATAAACAAAAATGAGTAAACTTAAGAATGTTTGAAAAAGAAAACAAAGAAGCTTAATATGAAATATATTTAAAATTTTTTAACACAAATGTACAGAATATATATTCTTTTCCAGTGTTCACAGAACAAAGAGCTAAATAATTAGAAATAAATACAACAAAATGGCCAAGATTTTAATTGAGAAAAATATGAAGTTACTATAGGTTTTTAAAACCTGATTAAGTAGAAAGATATAGAATTTTCATGTGAGATCACTTATTGTGAACATTTTCACATAATTAACCTATAAATTTAACATAATTTCTATCTAAACCTCAGGGAGAATTTTGCTAAACAAACTAGTTCTAAAATACACATTGAAGAGTAAAAAGCCAAGTACAATTTAAGGCAGTTTTTGAAGGAGAGGAACATGATGAGAGTTCTTCCTTTATAGACATCAAGCATAATTATAAAAGATAACAGTCAATGCAAAAAAAAAGTGTGTTTTTATTTTAAGTATTAAGTAGAATAATGAAACATAATAGAGAGCTCTGAAATGAACCATTCAAATGCAAAAATATGACAAATGATGGAGGTGACATAAATCAACAGGGACAGACTGGATACTTAAGAAATAGTGGTGGGAAAAAGCTTATCTTTGTGGATAAAAAATAGCATATGTTTTTTACCCCACATGTTCAAGGCTATAGCCCAAGAAGATTAGAAAAATAAATGTGAAACCAAAATTGTTTAACTTTTAGAAGAAAATAAAAACTATTTTCATGACTCCACAGCAGGGAAAATATGTTTAGACTAGATAGACTAAGCACAAACCAGCAAGGATAATATTTATAAATTCAACTACATTAGTACAAATGTCCGAATGTTTATAAGTGAAGTTATATGATAAGCAATACTTTGTGGAGGTTTAAATGATTTGTATCAGAATACATAAGGCAAAAATAAAGAAAATAAAACCAGAAACTGAAGAGAAACCAAATTAGATAAACAGGCAATTCACACACAAAGAATATTGACTTGCCAAAGATCAGAAGCAAAGTTGCTTAGCGTTGTGGGTAATTAGAAAAATGCAAATAAAACCACAGTAAAATAGAACTTTCACTAAATTGGTAAAAACTATAAAGTTATATTAAGTATTGTCAAGAAAGTAGAACAATAGAGACTTACATGTACCACTAACAAGTCTGTAAATGGATTCAATCTCTTTGTAGTGCTAATTGTTGAAAATGCTGCTTTCCTATAGCCAAATAATTTCCCATCTATGTTTATACACAAGAGAAGCTCTCCATAATGTCTGAAGTAGACACATCTACAGCATTTTGTTGTTGCTATTCAGTGGTTTAAAAGAATTAACTAGAGCTATATACATCAACCCAGACAAATTTCAAAAGCTAAATAGAACAAAGCAAGTTGTAGAAAGTGTCCTATGAAAGTGACACATCCATTTATATATGGGGGGGAGAGATACAATATCATTTATACAGAATTTAAAAGCTATAACTTTTTTTTTTTTTTTTTTTGAGACAGAGTCTCAAGCTGTCACCCTGGATAGAATGCTGTGGTATCATAGCCCACAGCAACCTCAAACTCCTGGGCCCGAGATTCTTTTGCCTCAGCCTCCCACACAGCTCTGACTACAGGTGCCCACTACAACACCCAGCTATATTTTGGCCTGGGCTGGATTCGAACCTGCCAGCTCCAGTGTATGTGTCTGGTGCCCTGGCCTCCTGAGTTACATGTGCTGAGCCTAAAAGCTATAATATTAAATTTCAAAGACCCATTGAAAGGACTTTCTCATTGATGTCCCTCCATTAGGACTGGGAGACCAGTCACTTAGGAGGCAGACTCTGTAGGCAGAATCTATACATCTGAGGAATTT